GGCTTTAGGCCGTACTCACTGCAGTCGTGGGTTAGGGTTAGGGTTAGACATAGACATAGACAACTTTACTGTCATTTTGTGTGTACGGAGTGCACACAAAACGAAATTTCATTTCATACAGCTTTAGACAAGAACAGGATTCAATAATTTAGAAGTCTAATGGCAACAGGGAAAAGCTGTTGTATGGCCTGGTGGACCTGCAGCGGAGCCTTTTCCCAGAGGGCAACAGGGAGAACACATCATGGTGTGAGGGGTCTGCGATGGTTTTACGGGCTCTGGACACGCAGCGCTGGGGTGAAATATCCTCAATGGAGGGAAGAGGAGCCCCCATGATCCTCTCTGCTGTCCTCACCACTCTCCTCACGTTCCTCCAGTAGGAGGTACTGCAGCCTCCACCACACAGAGACCGCTGGTCAGAGTGCTCTCTATGGTGCATTGGTAGGAGGTCAGAGTGCTCTCTATGGTGCATTGGTAGGAGGTCAGAGTGCTCTCTATGGTGCATTGGTAGGTCAGAATGCTCTCTATGGTGCATTGGTAGGAGGTCAGAGTGCTCTCTATGGTGCTTCTGTAGAAGGTGGTGAGGATGGGGGGGGCCGGTGGGCTCTTCTCATCCTTCTCAGGAAGTACAGGCGCTTCTGTGCCCTCTTCACCAGGGATGTGGTGTTCACAGACCAGGTGAGGTTGTCTGTGATGTGCACCCCCAGGAATCTGGTGCTGCTGACCCCTCCAGAGCTGAGCTGTACATGAACAGTGGAGCGGGACCAGGCCGGTACTTCCTGAAGTCAACGATGATCTCTTTCCTCTTCTCCACGTTCAGTATCAGGCTGTTGTTTCTGCACCAGCTGCTCCACCTCCTCCCTGTAGTCCCGCTCGTTGTCGTCTCTGATCAGGCCCACCACCGTTGTGTCGTCTGCAAACTTCTCGATGTGATTGGTGGTGAACCTGGGGGCGCGGTCATGTGTCATCAGAGTGAGTGCTGTTTAGTGCCTCAAACCTCCCGAAGAAGTTATTTAGTCCATTGAGAAAGTCAGCATCAACTTCACCCTCCGGGGGGGAGGGCGTGTTGTATTCAGTGATCGCCCGTATGCCTTGCCACATGCGTCTGGTGTTACTGGCGTCGTGGAAAAGATCCTGGATTCTTTTACTGTGGGTCCGCTTCGCTAACCTGATTGCACGGTTCAAGTTGGCTCTCGCTGTTCTCAGAGCCTCCTGGTCACCGGACTTGAAGGCTGAGTTCCGTGCTTTTAGCGCTTGGCGAACCTCCCCAGTCATCCGGGGTCGCTGGTTGGCTCGGGTGATGATGTTCTTTGTGGTGCTGACGTCCTCGATGCACTTGTTGATGTAGGCTGACACAGTCATACTCACAGTCATACTCACAGTCATACACACAGTCATACTCACAGTCATACACAGTCATACACAGTCATACTCACAGTCATACACACAGTCATACTCACAGTCATACTCACAGTCATACTCACAGTCATACTCACAGTCATACTCACAGTCATACTCACAGTCATACACAGTCATACACAGTCATACTCACAGTCATACTCACAGTCATACTCACAGTCATACTCACAGTCATACACAGTCATACACACAGTCATACACACAGTCATACTCACAGTCATACTCACAGTCATACTCACAGTCATACTCACAGTCATCCTCACAGTCATACTCACAGTCATACTCACAGTCATACTCACAGTCATACACAGTCATACTCACAGTCATACTCACAGTCATAGTCACAGTCATACACAGTCATACTCACAGTCATACTCACAGTCATACTCACAGTCATACACAGTCATACTCATCAGGGTTTATCATGTTGTCACATGTTGCTGCAGCCTTGAACATGTCAGAGCAATCAAAACAGGCCTGGAGTGCCTCCATGGCCCCATCAGTCCACACCTCACCTGCCTCACTGTAGGTTTAGCTCTAGGTTAGGGTTAGGGTTAGGGTTAGG